AGTCCTGCCAGGCCAGGTCAGGAAACGTGGGAGCAGGGAAAGATGTTTGCTACAGCCCTCCCTCAGTGCTGCACAGCTCCTCTCTTTGCCCTGTGAGTGCCCATGCGTTTGCATTAATAGATGTATGTTCTCACCAGTCAAAATTAAACACATGACATTCACAAATTGCTTGGAAGAGCAGGGTGCATCAGAATCCCTGTAGCAATAGACATGTGACTAAAAGCTTTAATAATAATGACATTTTCTCTACAGCATTTGCAGTTGCTGGTAGAGGAAGTTGCAGCAAAAATAACATGCATGAATATTTCATTTCTAGTGTATTCAAATATGCAGAAGGCACTGAAGCTTCTGAAGACTGAACTGTAAGAGAAAGAAGGAAGCCCTTAAATACTATAAAGTCTCATCTTCCATCTCTTCTCCATGCATTGACACTGGTGAAGAGACTATTTAGAGTGATATTTAGTGATGTGTAGTGATGGTTTCTATACATAAACACTACAGTTTTACCTTAGCCCTTTTGTACTGGGCAGCATTTTTAAAAGCTGGAGGCTTTTAATTTAAGGCGTACAGAAGAATACTGTATGATCCAACTGTAAAAATGATTTTTTTAAAAATAAATCCATTTTAAGTGTTTACATACAAAACATTGTTGTGTTGGGTTTTTTTCCTTGTCTTCATCTACCATTATTAGAAAGAGTAAAATTACTGTGTTGCTTGAGACCACTGCTTGCATTTTACATTTAAGCACTTTGGAAGGAAAAGGGCTGTTGTGGGTTAATCCTGGCCAGCAGCTCAGCCCCACACAGTCACTCACTTTCTTACTCCACTCCAGTAGGATGGGAGAGAGAAATCAGCAAGGTAAAAGTGAGAAAGCTTGTGGGTTGAGATAAAGACAGTTTAATAGGTAAAGCAAAAGCTGAATGAACAAGCAGAGCAAAACACTGGATTAATTCACTGCTTCCCATGGGCAGGTAGGTGTTCAGACATCCTCAGGAAAGCAAGGCTCCAGCACATGGGATGGTTACTTGGGAAGACCAAAACCATCACTCCAAATATCCCCCTCCTTCCTGCTTCTTCTCCTAGTTTATATAAGTATGGCACCATATGGTATGAAATATCCCTTTTGATCAGCTGGGCTTAACTGTCTCAGCTGTGTCCCCTCCCACCTTCTCCTGCAGCCCCAGTCTACTCGCTGATAGGGCAGTGTGAGAAGCAGGGAAGACCTTGTCTCCACGTCAGTGTCAGCAATCACCTTGTGTTATCAGCACTGTTTTAGTCACAAATCCAAAGCACAGCACCATACAAGCTACTACGAAGAGAATTAACTCTACCCAGCCAAACCCAGTAGAGGAAAGCAGCTTTTTATCTCCAGTTTCAGCAGCTAGCTAAGCTCAGTATTGCTCATTCTGGTTTATCTCTATTTATTTTCTTGTAGCACCAGTGTATGTAGAGCTTTCATTATCAGCCCTTCCTTTACACTTAAGATAACGGGAAGTGCAAACCTTTCCCAGAAAAGTACTTGAGACTAGAGAATGGGGTTGTTTGCATGGAGGGTTTTATTTCTTTTTTTAAAAAAACTGTCTGCATTCTGAAGTGATTTAAGATAAAACTGCTATCCTTAAAAGGTCCCTGCTTACATCAGATTTCAGTAAAGCCTTGAGATGATTAATAAAGTGATGCCATACTGAGTATGTGGTTGGTTTCATGACTGTGTTACAGCTTGTGACTGCTTATTTACAAGCCCAAAACGGACAAAAGAGAAGTTTGAACTAAAATTAACGCTGCAGATGAACACCATGAGAGTGTACACCACCTTAAGACTTAGGCAAAAAGGAGACTTTCCATCCCCAAATATCTAAGAACTCAGCAGCAGCATAAGTGAGAAAAGCTTTGCCCAGGACTGTACCTTCATTATCTTCTCAGCTCTTGGGCAATGACAGTGTTCTTATCACTACTATTACCCTTACTGTCACTACCAGTCACGGTGAGAACTACAAAAGAGGAAAACACTGGGGAAGGCAGGATAGGTGAGAGAAGCAAGAATTTCAGCTCAAGGGAATATCTCAGCAAAATCAGAAGGAAGGTACTTGCTAATATGTTTTGGCAAGCTACGTGAACCCTACCAACCAAAAAATCTGAAGTGGTACCTGCAAATTGTTCCAGACATGCAATCCAGCATTCCTTCAGCAGTTCAGTAAGATGCTCCTTTCTATTGCAGCATCCAGAAGACAGAGGAAAAAGAGATGCAGTGATGGGCAGAAATACTCCATATAAGCAGCTATCAGTGACAAAGAGCAAAAAAAGTGGTCACATCATTTAGCAGAGGGACAGCACAGAGGGAGGCTGGAGCAACTGGTTATCAGAATCATCTTTACCTACTCAACCCAAAGTACACTTGCTAGAGCTCTGTATCTGACCTAAAACAAAAGCTTCCTGTGCCATCATGTTTTACAAGTCTGTTTTAATAACACTACTGAAGTAGACCATTTTCTTAAGCAGATGTACTAATCCTATGGATAACATCCAGTGAATGGATATAAGGCATAACCTACAAGGGTCTAGTAGTCTGTCTACACGCTATAGCTGCAAATATCCAATAGTTCAGCCTACAAGTACCAAGAAATTAGTTTTTGAAACTGAAATAATTTTTTTGCACTCAAAGCTATGCTTTTGTAGTTTGCTTTTCACCTTAGCCAAACTTTTGAGAATCTTAATACATAAATGGTCAACTTAATCTGCTTTTTTAATCCTCTCCTCTAAATAGAGATTATTTAGGTTTACAGAGCCACCAAGCCAAGCTCTCTATAAAAGCCTTCCATGTCTTTGGAAAACCTAGGAAATCATTGCTGAAACACATACAGTCAATAAGCTGAAGTACGCAGGACATGGGCTTTTTGGAATTCCACTAGCATTCAGACATTCATTAAATAATTCAACCTAAAAATAATAATGCAATTTATTAACTCTAGCACATTCCTATTCACTTGTCAGCTATAGTTTTTAAGGTACATTTTTACAGGTATCACTTCAAGTTATGCAAGCTTTTCCTTTGGTAACAGTTACCTTCATGTGAAAGGCGGCAGATACTATACAGTAATATCAGTATGTTAGTTAAGATCTGGACTCACTTTCTCATACAGATTCAGAAGAATGAGATTTTATTATTTTACAGCCAGTTATTTTAATATGATAAAAATGTCTGTTTTGGAGGAAGTCGAGATATCTTTCTACCTTTTCCCAGAATAACAAACTTTAAGAGAGCATTTCAACACAAGGGTCAAAAGACATCTAATGTATGCAAAAGGAATGCTCTGAGTTAAATCACTCCAATACTTGTACACTCTGCTGCTGTAAATAGCTTCTAGAAAATCTGGTTACAATGAAGTCCAATTCTCAAGCAATATGCTAAAAATTAAAATGCCTCTCTAGAAAACAAACAACAACAAAAAAATCTTTATATGACAAAGACTCTTTTTTCAAAGAGAAAGCAGTGAACAACAAAAATGTCAATGACAAAAGGCATCACAAATAGGTATAAATTATTTTTTAAGTGCTCTATTTTGGCATGTCAGAACACCACAGCATTTCTTGTATACTCACATGTGAGCCAGACCTCCCCTGAGAGGCTACCCTCTTCCCCTCACAAACCCAAAGTCAGACTCAGTGTGTTTTATTGCCCCCCTTCAGAATCAGGTTCAGAAAGCGAATCCATATCTCTAATGGAAATGTCAAGGTTTGTATGGGTTGGTTTTTTAGGTTTTTTAATCACAATGCTGAAGGGAGAAACTATTGCTAATATGATAGAAAAATTTTAATCAAACATATGGTTCACTGATCTGTCTTTAGACCACTAAACCAAATTCACATTATGAGACATGAGAGCTTCTGAGGTGGCAGTATTTTCAGTATTTTCGCACTGATGCATATTTGCATTCCAACATCATCTACCATATTTATGAAACCAGACCCACCCAAAACTAAGAACTAACAAAATAATCAGGAAAAAAGTCAAAACTGAGGCAGCAACATGGTATTATTTTAATTTTCATTAACTCTCTCCCTATGACTCTTCCTTGAATTTTTTACTGCAATGTACAAAATACACAGCCTGTCTCGACCAGGAAAATGAACTGTTCCTAAAGATAGCCACAAGATCATCACTGTCCTCTTGACATATACTGAGAACAGCTAATTGTTTAAAAAGGACAGTAACAGCAGGGGGTGGGAAAGCGCTGCATACACTTACTAAAGTGTAATGTAAGTCTAAGGGCTCTTAAGGTCTTTCAGCACAAGAGCTCTTACCCTGAAAGTGCAAGTATGTGCTCAAGCCAGATAACAGCTGGACAGGCACAGCAGGAACTTAGAGCAGCACCAGGAGGTGGCGCTGACCACAGATATTGAACCAGCTACACCTGAAGAGCAGCAGTTCTAGCAAGTTCCTGACATCCCTCTGCATTCAGGTTCCACTCTCCCCCTTCAAAACCTCAGAGATAATCCCTTCTTCAGGAGCACTCAGCCCGGGAAAGTCTGAAAATTCTCTGTTAGGTATGTATTTCAATTTCTTTTTGCCTCCTCTTCAGGATAAGGAGGCATCTCCCCAGTAAAGGGAGACTATGAGAACCTACTTGTGACTGCCCTCACTGGTTTCCTTTCCACCTCACTCAGGTGCTGTATTCCTTGGCAGAGGTCCGTAACAGTCTTCCCCTTTTCTTCCTGAAGAGCCGTCTATCAGGCTACAGCACCTGCCTACCACACCAGAAGCAGCAACTAAATGAAAGTGGAGCACAGCTCTGCAGTTCAGTGTGATTAGAAACAAATGGAACATTATGCAACTCAGGTGCTTAGATGTCTGCTGTTTCCAGCTGATGCAACACTTCTGGTACAGCCAGGAGGAGGGACCATACTTTCCTTCACCTCAGACAATACTTACTACATGGATAACATACTGTTCTAACTTGAATTCTTTTCTTTGTTATTATAAAACAAACTACTGGAAACCATCTTTGTTTGTTTGTTCTTTCTTTTTTACACATCATTCAATCTCTCATGAAATCAAGACTGTTATCTGGATGACAGAGAAATATACACTGCTGAGTTATTACAACAATAATTTTACACCATCCAAAAAAAGTAACTGTACAACAACTTTCCAGACATCAAGTTTCTTACATCAGAGATGACAGACATTGATTCCAACATTGATTGTGCAAATACCAGACTTCATTCACTTGTCAAAGAAAAAAAAGTTTCAAGTTAATCAGCTGCAGATTACATTCTCCTGGTTTTCTTCATTCATTGTTCTCATAGTGACAATATCCATTAAAATTATTTTTTATTTTCAACAAAATTCTAAAGCTACAGAAAGCCTAAACAAACAGGGAAGGGGAAGGGTGAAGACTACAGTAGTCATTAACATACATGTATGTGCACTACAGAAAATAACATCTTTAGCTTCTATTTTTACCTTAACAGGAAAATGGAGACAAAAAAGTTTACTAGAGTTCATCCTAAAACCTAGGCAAATCATACCCAACCATCCACCATACATTTTTATCATTTTAATGAGAATGCATGTGAATTTTTGTAATCAGTGAATACAGCAGAAAATACTTCTGGGTTTTTTTTTGACACCAGATAAGCCAGTAGTGCTATAAAACTCACTGTTTAGAGTTCACTGTATCAATTAACAAAGTCTCAAGAGAGTTATTTAACCAGCAGTTAAACTCTGCCCAGCTACTGAATGCACCCATCTACTTTAAGATAGAGATTCTTAGAATAAAAATAGCAAAAATTAAATATGAAAACTACACATTTCTTATGGAAATTAAATTTTATTTTGGGTACATGTAGAATTCCTATTATGGAGAAATATCAAACTATGGAGAATCAGTATTTTTAAGTAGAGGGTGCAGAGAGAAGATTCAGTCCTTTATAAGCTTATCAAAGAAATGCACTAGGGTTTGCACGGGGATCCTTTTGGTTCCTGTATCTATAAGTCAGCCAGACTCCCAGAATCTGAAAATACAAAACCAAAGATATCATTAGGCAGAGGGTCTCCACCTCATCTTCTATCAGTTTTACAAAATTTGTTTTAAACATAAGTTTAGGATATTTTACTGCTGCTAAAACTGTAGAGCCACACACCAGCTTTCTCAGTTAGAAACAAGAATGCACCTTCTCAGAAAAAAATTCATTCATGGCAACAGAGATAACAACAAAAAAAAGCCAACACTGTATCCACAATGCAATACAAAATATTACCTATAGTTATGTCTAGAGTTAAATTATTCTTCCCCTTCCCCAAATGATCAGTATTCACAAACCTGTTTTTAGTATAATGATTAACAAATCCTCCAAATTGTTTCATTTTACAGTTACCACTTACATGAGAAAAATAACTTCAGTTATTTTCAAATCTTGACATTCCCCAGATCACATCCCTCCTTCCCAGCAGCTTCACTTTTTTTAGTAGGGAAATTGAAGCCTGATATCAGAGTGATTCTGTATAACTTGCTGTATCTCTCTGGTTGCTGTAGTATCTACAAACCTTCTAAAAACTGCACTATGCAGCAGAAGGAGTATTTTCACATGCTCTACTATGGGGTCACAAAAGACATCCTCTGAGGATTTTTATACACTAATCAATAAAGCAAGTTATGTATCATCATGGTACTAAAGGAAAGAATCAAAGACCTTTTTTATTTTAACCTGTTTTTTCAATTCACTCATCCTGCAACTCTATCTTTGCACTACAGGTGGCACCAAAAACAAAAATCCTCAAAGACTGTGTGTTTGGGTGAGAGGGGAGTAGGTGGGAAGAAGAGGGAACAAGGTAAATAAAGCAATGGCACTCCTTTTGTTACTGTTGGAAAACAGTAAGCCTGAATAACTAACTTTCTGAAAAACTTAAAACTTTACAGCACTACATTTGAACATTGCTGTTTGTTGCCTAAATAACAGAGTTGCAAGAACATCTAGTGCTGAAAAAAGACAAACCTTCCTTTTGGCAGACTTAAGAGAGCTGATAGCCTTGAAAAATTTTACCTAATTAATTATTTGACTCCTGAGATAGGACTGAAATTTCCTGTAATAAATCCCCTAAAATTGATTGTTTCACAAAACAAAGTCTTAAAAGTCAGGGAAAAGCACTCCATTTTCTAACCTCCTACTCACCTCTGTGAAACTGAAGAAAAGTCCTATGCCTCCAACAAATCTCAGTACCATTCCAGAATATTCCTCTATTATCGGTGCACATGGTTTACACTGGCGAGTTCTAAAACAATCCTGTAGCAGATACAGAGAATTTCACTCCATTTTCTGATGACCCTTCATTGACTGACAGCATCTAATTTGCTCTAGAAGAGACTGCTAGCCACGGACAAACTCTAACAGTTTTAAAAGGCTCCCAAAAAGCAAGCAACCTGTGCAGGGTGCTCTGTGATTGTCTTTCCAGTAAATTACCAGAAGAGCTCGGTATCACTATAACAACTATTTTACACATTTGTAAAAGGCTGCTGTCTGTAACTATGAAAACAGTTGTAAATTTTTGAACAAAGTATGAAAATGTTATGTTTTTTTCACACTTGAAGAACTTACAGCTGCGCAGGTTTCATTCAGATGAAAAGCTCTAAATCCACAACAATTCAGATTTCTCTCAATATCTGTTCTTGCACTGTTGGTGTTATTCCATCCCACCTCTAGCAGTTCACTCTAGAAGGCATAAGCAAATACACATTATATTAGTTGAACTGTTCTGCACTGCAAACCAATATGAGGCCAAGCTGATAATGCTATAACTAAAACCTTCAGATACTGATGCTTAACAGGATAATATACTAAAAAATTACCTGAGTGCCCAAACAGCCTGTGTAGCTAATGAAATAACAGCACCTAACAGCAGAACATCCATGGGTATAATTAATTTTCTTTCTTTGTTTTTCCTAAACCCAACAAGAGCACTAGTAATGAGACATGCAATGGATTTAACTGGGACTGCTCAGACTTTAAACAAAAAGTGTGCTCACATGTAAAAGCCGATTATTCAGTCACCGTACCTTTGCCCACCTCTTATGCAGTAAGAATTAAGTCTCATACCACATGGAAAACTGTTTTACTCTCATACATAAGGGTCACCTCTGTTCCTAATGCAGTTACAACCTTTTTAGCTACACAAGAAGAATTCAGTGGCTTTATCACCTTTTCATTATAATTACTGTAGATTTCATTAGCTTATCTTAAATTGCTGAACACATGATATATTCAAGATACCATGCTGCTATACCTGTGACCATAAACCTAGAAAAGAAGCTTAAAATTAAATCAATTAAAAAAAAAAAACAAAAACAAAAAAACCACAACATCTGAAAGTCATTTTAGGACCCAGATGTATTTCTTTCTAGGTACCAGAGCCAAGCACTGACCAAAGTCTAGTCTTTAAGTAATAGGATAATGCTGATTTTCTTCAAATGCGCTCTTCCCATTTTGTAAAAGACTATATACAAAGATGTGTGCCTGTGTACATATGTATTTACAGTATTATGCTATAGATAAACTGAGAAATCAAGATACTTTCTTACCTGCTGGTCCTTGTTTAGTGCCAAACAGGCACAGGAGACAGAAAACTGGACAATAAAGACTAGCAGAAGAATAATCATGTACTGGAAACAGTAGTTAAGGATATACTCTCAAATTAATTTTGCTTTTATAACATATACATCTAATGATATTCAGTATTTCACTGGGTAAGTCTTTTGACACAAAAAAACTACAGAAGCAAATTCTGGCTGGATGTAGAAAACATGACCTAAATAATGTTCCCAGAACTCAATTACCATACATTGTCTCTTTTTGGCTACTACCACACATAGGTGGTTTTGCCGGGTTAGATGTTTCTTGCCTAGCAAGAAAACATCAGCAGAGAGGTTAATAAGAGGAGCTTTGAGAGGAGAATCTACAGCCAATTCCTCCAGTTTTAGAGACTCATGTTGTCATTTCAAAATATTTCACTTAAATAAAGTAGTAAAGAAAATATTTTTCTGGGTGTTATATATTCAGAACATTGCTTTTCAATTACATAGTCTTGTAATTAATTACAAAAAATAACTTTAGCCTAGATTTTAAAAGAAAAAAAAGCTAAGAGTTGCTCTTGGAACACAGCCTCACACACTTTTGTACTACTGCATCTGAAAACAACATAAAACAGAAAGAATAAACTTTGACATTAAAGATCACACTTTGAAAGTTGGGGATCACCTTCACAATTTGGTTGCTGTGCTCAGAGGCAGATACTTACCTCACACAATTAAGCTGTCTGTAAAGTGGAGGTCAGTACTCTTTCATAGACCGCAAACATTAAACATTAACAGTTCACATACTTTAGTTGTGTGTAGGACTGAGCACACAGTAAGAGGCACCTGTGACAATATAAGCCACCATAAAAAGCTGTCAAAAAATCACAATATGTGAATGCTATCTTCAGAGCACAGAAAAGGGAGGAAAAAAAGGAAGCTGAAATAAATTTAAACAGGAAGGAAGTCTAATTTAGACTGTACCTGACCAAAGTAAGATTGTGAATTTCTGTTCTGTTTCTGAAGCACATTCCCCATCAGTCTCAGCTGACCGAGCAGGCTGTTTACATGGCTTGAACCAAGCTGCAATCAATGCAATGCCTCAGAAGGATACAAAGAATAGCAATACTTGATGATGTTTCACCGCACCGATCAATCCAACTAAGGCAATAAAGAAGAGAAAGACTCCTACAGCAATTACCACTCCTACAACTCGGAAACTAGAAATGAGGCCAAAGCCGATTCCCCATGCCGCAATTCCAATCAGCAGCAGGCTCACCAGCTGGAGGGAAGAGAAAACACAAAGTTAGTCTGTGTATTAAAAGAGGCTCCTATACACAGATACAATTTTTTACATTAAAGTTGTTAGTAGAAAGGTACAATGTTTCTTTCCAGTGCAAAGAGAACAAGCACAACCCTAAACAAACCAATCTTCCACTTCGTTGCAGAGGTAATTTCAGTTCCAGATGTTTTAAGCCACACATATTCTTCAATACTGTTGATGTGGGACTGTAACAATTTAATCTACCTACAAGTCAAGCCATGTTGCACTACCTGTGACTGACTAGAGACACTAACCGAGATTATAACATAACTGACAAATAAGCTAAAAATCATTGGCCTTAATTCAACAGTTGAATGAGAATGAAAATTCCAGATGTTTTGTGAAACTAAGGCAGTGTATTTAAAGAAAATGGAATATACAGCTTCACAGCTCTTTGCCAAAACTAACCGTAATCAGGTATACAGCTGTATTAATTAACTGGGGAAGTTCTCACACAGTTCATGATATAACACAACAGTTAACAAGGTCACACAAAAATACTTTTTAGATCTGAATCTCAAGAACTTCATGCAGTAAAATAATAAAGGTGCCCTGTCTCTGCTACATATTTCTTCAAGAAAACAGTTCTACTATTAACCCAATCCTATTTTGACACCCAAAATACTTATGCTGTTTCCTTCCTTCTAAAGATGGTATTCAGGGAAGGCAGGCATAATCGGTTGCTGTTAGTTCACTGGGATTTATTGTTTATATGGGCAGGAAGCTCCAGCCTTTCCTGTTTCCATGCCAAAAAGCACAGAAGCAAAAAAAAAAAAAAAAATCTGAGATGAAAAGCTGAAGAGAAATCTGTAATGAGGTACAGCAGGAGTGAGGCAGCAGACAAAGCCAACCCAGATGTCCAATACATTCTCTGGTTTGAAAGAGACCTATGTGTAACACATCACTCATACACTCTCTGTTAAATGACACCAATTCAATATGCAAGTTTTAACTTTTTGGAACTCTGACCTCATAAAAAAATATCCAGAAGTTGTATAATTATTTAAAAAAAAACCCAACCCCCCAAAAAATAAAACAGTAAGTGCTTAGTCTAGTCCAGTTACTTGGCTTTATTTGATAACAGATGTAGAGCAAGCACTCGTACCTGCTCACTGGTTTCCATTCAAACAAGGCATATCTCATGACATTTTACTGCTTACCTAGAGGTGGGGGAGGGGATTAAAAAAAAATAGCCAATTTCCAATTTATCATTTCAGTATACTTACCTTACAGCTGGGCTTTTTTGTTGGTTTTAATGCCAAATACATCCACATATTTTTCACTTTAACTACATTTTGGAAGACTGAAGTATGCAATGCTGCTTTTGAAACATAGAAATCTAGGATAACATCAGGAAAGTTAGTAAAACAAGCTGAGATGTTCATCAAGATCAAAACCCGGGGGGGGGGCGGATTTTTATGTGTTCACACAGCAACACTTCTCAAAAAACTTTTTACCAAATGCCAGTAATCCACACAAGAAATTAAAGAGTCTGCAAGAACAAAAGTAGGATATTTGTCATACCTACACTTCTCTCAATACATGAAGAGACAAAAAAAAAAATTCAAAGGAATTGTTCAATACTAGCAGAGTTTTGGGATTATTTTACATTTGTTTCTCTTAAACAAAATGCCTTAATTGCCATGTTTATTTAGAACCAAAACAACAGGCCAAAGTGTCATGAATCAAAATTACAGAGGAGGAAGAAAAAAACCAAAACAAAGCATCTCGACTCTGACACACATAAATTTTCTGAATCCATTTTGCACAAGGCTATAAACTTTCTGATGTTAGTACATGAAAAATTAGCCTTGCTAAGCAGTTATATGTAAGACCTGCCTGTTCCCATCTATGCTCATCCACTTTATTTCATTGTCTCATTTCACTGGCAAGATTTATTTTTCCACGTAAGCACCAAAAACAAGCAAGCAACAAAAAGAAATTCCATAACCCAACTTCAAATCAAAAAATGCTGACTGACATCTCATGCTCTGCATCAACTTCTAAGCATTGAACTTGCATTGCCACTACACAGCTCTTCAAACTGTTATAAAAAACCTCAAAGGCAATGCCGAATTTTCACTTTATTTCACAAAGACCAGATGAAACTTTGTTCCTAATGATTTTCAACAATATCTTTCTGACAGAGTTGAACGTAAACCTTTACTTTTGACCAATTTATCTCCAGGATACCAAAACATGTATTTGTTCAGTTCTTTGCTTATCTGATAAGAGGTCCAAAACAATTAGATGAAACTAGTTTTATTCTTAAAATACTGGAATTAAAAGAAGAGACAAAATCTGTGCCTATAACACCTACTGGATAAACGCAGTGCATGAACTGCAGGGTACCAGTTCCTTCTTGCTGCTGTTACTCATCTCATCTCATATTAATCTGATGACATGTGCATGAAATTAGTCATATGACACTATAAGTTATTACCCTGTGGCACAAAAAGCTTTTCTAGTAGGAACAGTCATATACAGAATTGAGACCAGCTCGGGTTTTCAAGTGAAAAAAAAAAAAGCATCTCTGTTTTTTAAACACATTATTGAACCCCAAATATTCAGGAATCAGTTAAATGGCTTTGAAAAATAAAGTAACATAAAATAGTTTAGTTTTCCTTTGGATCACATTAAAGTTTTAGAGCCATCAGTCTCCTTTTCAAGTGCTACCTCCATAACACCAAGTCTGTATTTTTTCTTCTTTCACTTCACAAAGTTGTCCAATTTCTTAAAACATCTGGAAATTCAGTGTGATCACAGATCTGTGCTACTGGTCCCTGGTTGAAACTATATGAAAATGCTGTATCCAGTTAGGCAGATCCATGATAAGGATCAAAACCACTATTGGTTACATTATTGTTTTGCCACTTGAAATTGTGGAAAATTGACTCTGTGTTTCAAAACTGAAATGGAGACTGCAGGTTTACAAACCATTCCAGAAATGGATTCAATATTAAGTTCCTGACTCATCCATGTGTTGACTGAAAGATGAAGTTATGGTTATTCTCTTATTATCAGGTTTGGAATGGTCTATATGATTGTTGAGCAATAACTCTAGATAAAGTTTTATAATGCCATAAGGTGAAAAACTAAAGTAAATGCATGCAACTACAAACAGGAAAAACGTCTTAAGCTGTTTTGAGCACAAGTTTTACAAGTCTGTAAAACAATGCAAGGCTCATAGCATTAGACGCTGTTTAGCCACTAGAACTGACTATTCAACAGTGCTTATTCCAGTGTTTTGACACAAAAGGATTTAAATGCAGTATTTCTAAAAGTGAAGCTGCTAAGACTTCATAGTAAAACATACTTGAAACAAAGAGACCCTAACTACTAATTTTGGGCTGGAAGTCAGCTTAAAGAAGACAGAAGTCTTCTATCAACCTGCACCTCAGGAAGTCGTCCATCATCCCCACATCACCATTGGCCAATCAGAGCTCAGATCAGTCCAGCAGTTTAATTACCTTCGGCAGCCTCATCTCCTCGGATGGTAAGATTGATGGAGAGATAGACAACAGGTTAGGAAAGGCATATAGAGCTTTTGGAAAACTCCATAAAAGAGTTTTGTGAAATAAACACTTGACGAAAAGCACAAAGATCAGTGTTTACAGAGCCATTGTGCTGTCTACTCTCTTATATGGTTCCAAATCATGGGTCATCTACCGCCACCACCTGCGACTCCTAGAACGCTTCCATCAACGCTGCCTCCGAACAATTCTAAACATCCACTGGTCAGATTATGTGACCAATATGTCTGTTCTAGAACAAGCAGCAGTCACAAGTATTGAGACCATGTTGCTGAGAACACAGCTGCGCTGGGAAGGACACGTCTCCAGGATGAAGGACCACTGCCTCCCTAAGATCGTGCTCTGTGGTGAACTTGCCACTGGCTGCCGCAAGAGAGGAGTCCCGAAGAGGAGATACAAGGACTCCCTGAAACAACATCTCAGCCTTGGCCACATTGATCAACATAACTGGTCTACTCTGGCCTCCAGTCGGGAGGTCTGGAGACACACCATCTATAACGCTGCTGTTTCCTTTGAGAAAGCATGCAGGATCACTCTCGAGGAGAAAAGACAATGCAGAAAAAATCATGTCTTGCTGATACCGTCCAAGGAGTCTTTCTGCTGTGCCTTTTGCAACCGGACTTGTCTGTCTCCCATTGGCCTTTTTAGCCACCAGCGTGCTTCTAACAAATGTGGGTAGAGCCCTTCCCAAATCTTTGTTCGTGAAGCCTAGCCACGAATGTAATGTACATTCTAAACGTACAAGCTTTACCTACATACAAAGAGGTCAAATATTTCCACTAAATAAGGGAAAAAGGACTCTCTATGGAGCTTTTGAATGTCACATTTTATTTTACTGAGACCACATTTCACAGCACCAGAAGTCCCTCAAAGTAATCAGTCTCATCTTTGGAAGACTGAAGTACATGTGAAACTCCATTTTACCTATAAGAATTTACAAACATAAAGCTAGCTTTGGTTACAAACACTTCAAATATTTGCTTGATATATCTACCAGAAATACATGAAATCACAGTCCAGTTTTTAGTGATTAGGGCTGATCCAGTTTCCCACAGGAGTCTCACTACTAAGTGGAAAAGGCATGGGTTGGAGAAATGGCCTGTTACACCGGATGGCAACAGGGACCGCCAAGCTTAAAGGGCAATAATCAATGGCTCAGCATCCAGCTGGTAGAGGGTAGGAAGCACCACAAGGGCTGATACTATGACCAATATTATACAGTATCTTCATCAACAACCTGAGCATAAGACAAAATGAATCCTAAGAAAATTTGTGGATGATACTAAACAAGGAAGAGTGACTGACAACTCAGAGGGACCTTGATAAACCCAAGGAATAAGCCAACAGGAATCTCATGAAGTGCAAAATTCTGCTCCTGGGGTGCTTCAGTGGAGCCTGGGATCAGACTGGTTGAACAACAGCCTT